GGGGGGGGGGCGCGCAGCCAGCCAGCACATACATGCGATCGGTAGGCTATAGAGCCGCCGATCGCATGTATGTCAAACAGCTGGTGACGGCTGTAAAGAACGAGTGGGTTTTTTCTGCCCGTGCGCGCGGCAGCAGAAAAAAAAAGCCATCTGATGATGGCAACCCGCCAATGTGAGTCCGCCGTCCATCCGTTTTTTCACAACGGGGGGACGGCAAGAGGTTAAGGCAGATCATTGATGTAAGCTCAAGATCTGCTGACCCTGTTAGACGACCAGTCCCTGCAGACAACCCCAGCAATGGATACCATCAATCAGACAGGTTTGAAATACTGGAAGAGAATTGCTATTGACCATCAGCGGCCCGCGCTCTCTCCCTCCCACCATCGCCATATGCATAAGTGATGATCATCATATGTGTTTATGGAGCAGCCTATAAATAGTTGTGCCTGAAGGGGATTGGATTGTACCTGCAAACCACTATTGTTTTCTTATTTGCATAGAGTAGGAGAAGATTAGAAGCTTTTTTTCCGCTGTCTATGTTCCCCGGGGCAGATTCACTCTATTTGTCCTGCTGAGCATTGTTACCGAGGGCTGAAAGTGAGGGAGAATCTCAAATTTTGAGTTGTCACCAGAACAGGAAAGGAGGGGAAATCTTCCATCTGGGGAAAACCATCTAAGAGAGGATTTATTTCATTTTGGGGAGATATGTTCTTATTTCCTGTGTCTCGAAACAGGAAGTGTAGGAAAATCCTCCCAGTTGTACACAAAACAGAACAACAACAAAAACTTTAGGTATGGGGAGAAAAGCCAAAAAGCTTCTCATATATCCAGAAAAGTTTTTTTTTTATTTCAAGTCGAATAAAACAGAACCAACCTATTCCAGTGGATCCCCAGGGGCGGGCCCCCCTTCATCAGGGCTTGACCAAAAAATGTGAAGGGCCATATTCTGCACAGTGCAAACAAGTCTATTCCGGAAGACAAATTGGATTTCAAACACGCTGTAGGATGTCAAATCTGCACCTGAAGCAGTTCTGAATCTTAAAGAATAAGCAGGCATATTAAAAATGAACCCTCCCCATCCTACAAGGGGTTAAGTGCACATTTTGGTCCAGGGTCTAAAAGATATACTCACCTGATCCTCGGTCTCACAGCAGTGACCGCTAACCTTTCTCATCCCTCCGCTCCAGCTTTGGAATGTCCTTTGGCATCCTGACATCCAATGCAAGTCAATGGACCTGTATTGGGCATGAGGACGTCAGCAGGACTTAGGTCACCGGATCCTGGGGGAGAAGAGGCTGCGGGGACCGGTCTAACAGCAAGGCAGGGCTGAGGACACCTGATCTTTGTTAAGGTGCCCATGCACCTTACAACCATCGCAAGACTTTTGTCTTGCGATGGTCGTAAGCTTATTAAAAGCTCGTACGATCTGCCCATCTTGGACAGGCAGGTCGTACTTGCGATCATCGAAAGCCCGCCCCGCTGAGGGGCGGGCTTCCGATGACGGCAATGCTGAACGGGCAGTGTGCGCGTGTGCACACCGGCCCGTTCCGCAGTTGTCGAACGAGCAGGCTAGAAACCCGCCGAGAATCATACTGTTCTCGGCGGGTTTTCCAGCATGCTGGTTCGACAAAAGACGTGCGGCCATACAGTAAAAACGGTCGCACGCCTTCCATACATCTTGCGATTATCGTACGATCGCGGGATTTCCCGCGATTATCGTACGATAATCGCAAGGTGTATGGGCACCTTAAGAGATACACTATATCGCCAAAACTATTGGGACACCCCTCCAAATCATTGGATTCAGGTGTTCCAATCACCTCCATGGCCACAGGTGTATAAAATCACCCACCTAGGCATGCAGACGCTTCTACAAGCATTTGTGAAAGAATGGGTCGCTTTCAGGCTGGGTTCACACCTGGGCTTACGTTAGCGCGATTTGCGGTCCACGAAACACGCGTCAAACGCGCGTTTATGAAATCTATCAAGCTGTATCCTAATGCATACGCGCTGAAATCCGCCCCAAAGAAGCTCCTGTACTATTTTGGGCGTAGGGCGTTTTTCAGCGCGTCAAAACGGGAACCGTGCCGATAGGAATTAAAAGGATTTCACTGCTTGAACGTTTTTCAGCGCTTTGATCAGCACTGAAAAACGCCCAGGTGTATACCCAGCCTCAGGAGCTCAGTGAATTCAAGCGTGGTGCCGTGATAGGTTGTCACCTATATGGCAATATAGTGTACCTCTCACACCAGATATAACACTCTATTAAGGTCATCAACTTACCTACAGATCCAGTACTGCACACACCTCCCCTTCTGTCTAGCAATAGAAAAATAAAAACTTGACAGGATTCCATCCAAAACTAATAAATCTGGAAGGGGTTGCATTGTGTGTCTACTGTTGACCACACACACAGCATTGAATAGAATCTGAATGCAATCACTTGGGAGGGGGGAACACATACTTTTAGCCAGGCAGTGTATATTTCAGTAGAGTATGGTTGCCGTCATGCTGAATTTCTCTGGGATCCTTCCAGAATTCTGTGTCACTGAATAACCACAGCCACTATAATGCTGAACATTGGTGTCATGTCCACCCCAAAAGATCCTCTACAGAATAAACTGATAACCGGGCAGGCACTGCTGCCATAGAATGACATCTTTATTACAGCCAGCAGGGGACACAGACAAAAAAAACGAGTAAAAGTAAATCTCTAAAACAAATTAAAAAGGGCAACCAACCAGAGCCAACCAAATATTACTTTGGTGGTAAGTTTTCCTTTTATCTCAATGATCGAAATGTTTGGGAGGACTTCACCACCAGCACCCTTAACAGGCAGGAGATACTGGAAGCCTGCAAGCATGCTCACAAACCCTGTGGACAAGAGGTCGGTAAACCTCGACCCTCCAGCTGGGGTGCAACTACAAATCCCATGGGCACTGCAAGACTGACAGCCACAGACATGACGGGATTTGTAGTTTCACCATAGCTGGGCCAGAGTTTGCCTATCCCTGCTGTAGACCATCCTAGGAGCCCCAAACCCCATTTACAATCCTTGAGAAGCTCCTGTGGTGGATATTTCCCAGCCATACTCTTGCCTCACTATTGACACACAACCATATTGTGTAGCGTTACTGGCCAATAGTCAGGTGGGAGGGGGATGGAACCAAGGTCTGGAGCACATAAGCTGGTCAAGATTTGCACAACAGGGCACCCTGGGTATTGGGCCTCCTGTGATGCTGTACAAGTCATGTCAGCGATCATTTAGCTTACTTGTAGTGTTCATTACCTCTAGTGTGTAAATGACATTAGTAATGGTTGGCCTCCTCAAAAAAAGCCAACTCCGGCCAAACCTTTGATTTCAGTTTTGTACAGAGAGGGAAGAATTAAAACTTTGTATCTCTATCTGTGTCTACACTGAGGAGATTCGACCAGGATTCTGACGCTGCCACGGATGGCGCACGCGCACTAGCGCCACCTCGTCCCAATCTCCTACTGGCAAGTCACTGGACGTGACGCCACAAGTTGGAGATTTTGATGAGTTGGACATTTTGATGAGTTGAACAACGGCAGGAAAGCACATTTATTGAGCAGAATGGAGAGTCATGTTTTAATTGCTCTCTGTGTCTTCCTGTCTCAGTGACAACTGCACCCTCCAATTTCCTCAAGTCTCCGGGACAGGAAATGAGGGAAAAATCTCATCAGTAAGGACACAGACAAGTTCTGACCCTTACCCACTCCATGCAAAAGTAGAAACAAGGTTTTCCCTGGAGTTGAGAACCTTGTCATTAAATCAAATGATTGGAAGTAAAATTGTTAAACGATGGAGAACCTTGCCAGGTATCCTTGTCATATTACACTGTGTCCTGGACACAGAGTACTCTATTGAATATCCGTAGGCGGCGTGGGTCCTGGATCTTCTGGAGACATTGAAGTAGCAGGTACATTGTGTGCCACGGACGGTGTTCTGAACAAGGAGGTCGGTGTGATCCCCCTGGTGAAGAGAGGGCAAAGTTGTAATATTTGTTCAGAGGAAACCATAGAGCTCTGGTGTTGACACAGCTGTAAATCGTGCTAAGCCTTTGCCACTTGGGACAAGTAGATTGTCTGCTGCTAGTACTATGTCTGCTGTAGAGAAGAACAATTGGAGAAGAGTCTCTGCTGCCCTCAGGTATACCCTCAGGTCATGCATCCTAAGCAGCCCTGACTTTATATGTGAATATCAACCGCACTTACAGAGCATTTATAGTAGATCTAAACCCAGTCCCTATCATCGCATATAAGCTTTTCACATGTTAATTATTTCAATCTGTTTATATCTGAAGCTTTATTAAATAATCTCCGATGATCTTGCCATGATGGTCCTTGTTCGGATTCTTCACAGTGTCATGTGACATACCTGGGGGTCGCAGGTGGCAGAGCGATGACACGCGGACGAGTTGTCAGCACCACTTCCCCTCGGTTGGCTTCAATCATGATATTCTGTAGAGTGTTCTCCAGAATGGACTCTACCAGCTGGCTGAACAGCGGAGCCCTGAAAGACACAACGAGTACCCAAATACTGATATAAAAGACCTTCTGTATGATAGAGCGCAACTCATTCAGAATAGGAAAATGCATTTCTCACAGGGGTGAGATTTTTATAGCTTTTTGTATGCGGTGGTAACAGTAGGGTGGCTCAGTGATCAGCAGTCGGACCCTACAGCGCCAAGTCTTTCATTAATTTCCCATGAGGTCTTTTTTTATGCTCACATTGAGTACAGTGTGAATTACCTTGTGCTAGCCAAAACCATAGCCACAAAGTAATAAGTCCAAAACCATAGCTGCAAGATACCTAAATTGTGACTAAAATGGTCATAAAGAGACCAAAGAAAAATGGGAAAATCCAACAGTACTGAAAGTGCAATGATCTGTAATTTCAGATACAACATATTTGCTCACCTGGACAAGTTGCTAGGTTGCAGATATGTGTTTGCAGTGTCCCAAGCAGACGTTACCCCCATCAGCCTGTCTGCTTGAAGCGGCAAAGCTGGATGCAGCTATTGTAAATCCACCCAGATGGATCAGTGAGTCCGTTCAGACCATGATTTTTTTGAATGACTAGCCCTAATGAAGAAGCATTGTAGGCCTGTAACCATTTTTGGAAATATACCAATCACCTGTCTGTATCTGGTCACAAGTGTTCCCCTCACCTATTGTAACTATGTACCTTTATTTTCCCACCAGCCATGTGCCGATTCTATAGTGGTGTCTCATCTGGGTTGGTATCACCTAAAGTTGCATCCAAGCCTGCTGTACCCTAACCAAGCTGATGTGGTGAATGAATGCAGCTCAGGACAATTTGTAGCAATATTAATTTTGCTCTAGTTGCATATGTTGTGGCAGTGCGTGGCAATGCCACGGAGTATGCTGGCAACACAGTCACCCTGGCCTCTTAGCCAGAGGGGCTGAGAGGTCACGGAAAATAAATAGATTTGCAGGGAAGATGCTGGCCTTCTGGTTTCTTCTGTTTTTTCTGGATTGTGGCTCTGAAGATTTCTTTAATAAGGGGGTTATTCACAAAAGGGTGAAGGGTTTGGAGAAGGCAGGAGAAGTGAACAATTTCGGCCAAAATAGCTGATTTGGAAAAATTCTCCAATTCAGCTCACTTTCTAAATCAGTTATGTTGTCCTAGGTCAGGGGTGCCCACGATTTTTTGTGTTAAGATCTACTTTTCAAATGACAAGCTACACGAGATCTACCAACGAAAAAAAAACCTCCCTCGCTCTGTCTCTCCTGGCTGTCATCCCTCGTTTTCTCTCCTGGCTGTCTCCCCTCGTTTTCTCTCCTGGCTGTCTCTCCTTGCTCACTTCCCTGGCTGTCTCTCCTTGCTCACTTCCCTGGCTGTCGCTCCTTGCTCTCTTCCCTGGCTGTCGCTCCTTGCTCACTTCCCTGGCTGTCTCTCCTTGCTCTCTTCCCTGGCTGTCTCTCCTTGCTCTCTTCCCTGGCTGTCTCTCCTTGCTCTCTTCCCTGGCTGTCTCTCCTTGCTCACTTCCCTGGCTGTCTCTCCTTGCTCTCTTTCCTGGCTGTCTCTCCTTGATTTCTTCCCTGGCTGTCTCTCCTTGCTCTCTTCCCTGGCTGTCTCTCCCCGCTCTCTCTCCTGGCTCACCTTGCTGTATTTTGCAACAAGCTGTGTAAACTAATATTCTTTGATGTAATACATAGCACTACAACCACCAGTATCCACCAGAGAGGTGTCGGGGAGCTGGGCTCAGCAGACTCAGGCTAATAGGTAATTATGTGTGCACAGCTAAATAAATATACCAAAATGGAATAAAGGGGCCGCTATTCACACCCTTCCTGATCTACCAGCATCAGCTTTGAGAGCTACTGGTAGATCACGATCTACCTACTGGGCACCCCTGCTCTAGATTGTTCACTTCTCCTGCCTTGTCCAAACTCTTCACCCTTTTGTGAATAACCCCCTAGTGTTCTGGGTGGGATGAAATCTCCAGTCCTGAGGTCAGGTGTTGCCAGTGGTCAGGTGGCTGAGAGCAGCCTTATTAAGTGCCCAGCCCAGAGCTCAGGGGAGAGTTGGTGGTGTGTGCTGGAGGCACACAAGGGTCAAGCCAAGCCAGTGGTGTGTGGGTGTGCAGGAGTCACACGGCCACAAGCAGACTTGGGTGTGTGCTGGATGCATGTGGAACAGCCAGGGGAGGCTGGGGAAGGTCAGTGACACAAGGTACCTGGTGGACACACTGCGGAGAGAGCAGTGTGAGTGCTCATGAGGGGTGAGCAGTGTGAGTATCACACAGAGGTGTGCTGAGGACTGTATATGCTGAGGAAACGCAGATTATTATAAGAAGCACGTGAACTGTTATGTTTCATTTATATTGAAGAGGAATAAGGACTGTCCTGTTTATGTTCAAGTTGGCTTCAAGACTGGTCCTTAAGCGCTCACCATTGGGCTATATTCCCCAAACATCACAATATGTAAAATCTAGCAATGTGCCAGGTAGAAGAAGACATGTTGTTTTATGTGGGATTTATCACACTTCAAAGGCTGCACCTGCTGTTGACTCAAAGCAATACGGAGCAATGGGCTTAAAGTCCAACTCCAGGCATTAAAAAAAAAAAAACTTACCATGGTTAAAGCTTTCAGATATTCCTTTGCATGAAAAGTAACCCCCTGTCATCATGCAGGCTTTCCTTTAAACCCATCAAATCTGCTCATTTAAATGCGGGATTAGTATAGTCCCCACTGTACTTCAGGGCCGCACGGATGTAAGCGCTGCAGGTCTCATAGTCCCCACTGTACTTCAGGGCCGCACGGATGTAAGCGCTGCAGGTCTCATAGACCCCAATGCTGTCCTTGTGTCTGCACATCCCTCTCTTCCTTCACATAACACACAGTCCAGGCTTTGTTTTGTGAATGGTCAGCTCAACTTTTCTGCTGACATCGACCTTTTTCGAGCAGCTCTTTGAGGATAAATCACAACAACCAAAACAATTGACTCAAATTGTATTGTTCTTAAATCAGACCAAAACAGTCCACAATTTGGTCCATTGTTGATTAGGTTGGGAAGAAGGAGGGGAAGTCATATAAAAGTCTTCAGAACTTTCATATTAGCTGGAATAATAGATCCCACGGCACTCTTTTCTGGGTCACATGATGTAAAGCCAGCATGTTAGGCTCCTATGGCTTGCAGCAAGTCTGAGTTGGGAGCAACCAACAATCATCAGAGACTTCCTTCACAATAGTTAAGAAACACAGTATATTGAATGGGTGAAAAAGACCAATGAGTCTAATTATTCATTCAGAAAGGAAAAAAACAATGCCGAGTATTTGTGTGAGTACTCATACTCGCCCACATGCTCCTATACTTACCCCCCGATACCAGAACTTCTGGTCAGAGGGAGATTTCCTCTGACCAGCAGTGCCGTGAGGGAACGTGGAGCTGGTTTTTCGGGGCAATCAGGGAGCCAGGCGACGGGTAATGATTTGCCGGCCGGCTTCCTGATTGGCAGGGAAGCCGGCTCCATGCTGTTTGGCCGGCTCCATGCTGATTCCCAGCCAATTAGCATCGAGCCAGCCAAACAGCATGGAGCCGGCTTCACGGCCAAACAGCATGGAGCCAGCTTCACAGGCAATCAAGAAGCTGGGCAGCGTTTCATTATCCACTGCCCGGCTTCCTGATTGCCCGGGAAGCCGGCTCCATGCTAGTGGAACTATTGGTATCGGTACTCGGTATCGGCCAATAGCGAAAGATACATCAGTACTCATACCCGGTACTGAAAAACTGGTATCGGTGCATCCCTAGTTATTAGTATAACTATATATATAAGTAGCAAATATGAGGATCCATATAACGTGTACAGAGAAAGGTGACAAGTTTGGGTTGTGATGTATCAGCGCCCCCTAGTGGGTAATGAAGAGAATAGAGATTACAGAAGCCCCAACGGCCATTCTCACCTTTGTCCCAGATTTAGTTTTTTTTACCTTTTGAACGTTTCTTTCAGTTCCTCTTGTCCCAAGCCAGTTTGTTCTGCTTCACTCTTTCTGTGTTCTGGTGCCGTTATCAACTGAGACGTGGCTGACTTGTCCACTTCCTCCTCTGTTTCCTCTGTCATGGCACCAGACGGTGTTTGTTCTGAACTTAGTTCTTCAGCCAATGGGATGTTGGTAGTTTCAGGGGAGATTTCCTGGCTGCGAAACTGTCTGAAGTACGGCACAGGATCGTTCTGTATCTCCTCCAGAGCTTCATGAAACTGCTTATCATCCAGGAGATTCCTGCGAGAACAACAATGTATATCTTGTAGATGGAAGTAGAATCAAACCATAGACCCACAGCTACTATTGGAATAACAAACACTGCTTTATAAAGAAGAACTCCAATTCAAATCATTATCAGTATAAACACTGCAAGAAAGGAGGTGTTAGGATTAGGGATACACCAATACTGATACTAGTACTTGTACTCGCCCAAATGCTCTGATGCCTTGCCCGATACCCGAGCTGCTGGTATCAAGAAGACGGGCAGTGAGTCATTACACGCTGCCCGGCTTCCTGATTGACTGGGAAGCCATCTCCCTGCTCCTTCGTCACCTGTGACGAGGGAGCCGGCTAGCCAGCCAATTAGGAAGCTGGGCAGCGTGCAATGACTCAATGCATGGAGTCCTGATTGAAGCCAGCTTCCCGACCAATTAGGAAGCTGGGCGCTGCATCATTAAGGTCCCCACACACCTTGCGATAATCGCGGGAAATCCCGCGATAGTACGATTATTGTAAGGTGTGTGGAAGCCGTGCGACCTCTACTACTGTAAGGTCGCACGACTTTAAACTTACGAACATGTTTCAAAACCCGCCGAGCATCGTACGATGTTCTGAGGGTGTGTAGCATGTTCGGAAGATAAAAGCCGGACGGGCCGGTGTGCGCAAGCGCACACTGCCCGTTCGGCATTGCGGTCATCGGAAGCCCGCCCCTCAGGGGGCGTGGCTTGCGATCATCGCAAGTACGATCTGCCTATGCAAGATAGGCAGATCGTACGTTTTTTTAAGTACCTTACAACCATCGCAAGACAAAAGTCTTGCGATGGTTGTAAGGTGTGTGCCCAGCCTTACACGGTGCCCAGCTTCCTGATTGGCCAGAAAGCCGGCCCCATGCTTTCTCGACATCTCATGACGAGAAGCATGGGGACAGCTTCCCTGCTAATCGGCAAGCCAGGTGGCGAGTCATTACACGCCGCCTGGCTTCTTTAATGGAACTTCCGGTATCAGTATTTGGTATCGGCGAGTACCGTAAAAAACGGTTCTCGTACTCGGTACCGAAAAACCGGTATCGGTGCACCTCTAATTTGCATTGTAACTGCGTGTTGAGCCGTTTTCCTGAAGTCTGAAAGATGATATTCCAGCTTTGTCTCCGTTTTCACCCAGAACTGACATGTCATGGCAGCATTCCCCTATAATGCTGAACAGGGACAACCATTGTGTCATGTCACCTAATCACTGCAGCCATGATGTCTGTAGCCATCTCCTGCATTGCCTTGGTGGGTTTTCCTGGGTGTCCGTCTGGTTCTCCTGTCTCAGGCTGAAGGTCCACAGGAATTGCCTTTTCCATCTTCTTCTTGGGTAACCTGCATAGTACATACGAGAAAACACAGCGTTCCAGTGACATGGGGAACACTGAGGGTGCCCACAGGGAGGCAGATTACATGCAGAAAATTCTTGCATTAGACCTTGCTTCTCCTAGCAACCAATAGGGAATCGGCTTTCATTTTTTAGGTTGTTCAGAAAATAAAACACAGAAACTGACTAGCTGCTGCAAGACATAATTGCATTTCAGTTTTCTCTCGTTCTTTAATCCAGATATTTCCCCTGCTGCTAGATGACCTCACTCTGATGGCCAGTGTTATTTAGCCCACTTCCTCTGAGCCCAGGTAATCCTGGATCCGCCCCCAGCCAGTGACTGGATAGTGAAGAAGCAGGACAGTAATGAAATCATCTCTTTGTCACACTGCTCTCTCCTCCTACTAGCATGCTTCTTGACATCACGTGAACCGATTGGCTCCTTGTGCTGTTTCTTCCTCTCACACTCCAGCCCTGCTGTACAGGGACTGCAGGAGGCTGATACCAGGTCAGATTAAGGTAAATACACTGCTTGTATTTTAAAAAATACATTATTGGTGTGTTGATGATTATGGAGCTGCATTCATTTGTGTCTATTATATATATTATTATACAGAATTTATATAGCGCCAACAGTTTGCGCAGCGCTTTACAATATAAGGAAGACATTACAATCACAATTCAAGACAAGATGGTAAGGAGGGCCCTGCCCCTGAGGGCTTACAATCTAAAAGGGAGGGGGAGGTGATACATGAGGAGGGAGCTGTGTGGGGATGAATTGTTTGAGAATGTGATGGTTCAGTGGTTAGGTTGAGGTGGGATGGGCTTCCCTGGAGACATGAGTCTTTAGGGATCACCTAAAGGCAGACAGAGTAGGAGATAGCCAGACAGGTTGGGGTAGAAAGTTCCAAAGGAGGAGAGAGACTCTAGAGAAGTCCTGGATGCGAGCATGGGAGGAGTTGACAAGGGAGCTAGAGACCAGAAGGTCTTGGGAGGAGCGGAGGGGACATATAGGGTTATACTTTGAGACAAGGTTGGAGATATAGCCGGGGGCAGAGTTGTGGATGGCTCTGTAACGGGTTGTCAATATATATCTAAAACAAACTAGAATAAGGAATGGATGAAGCCTGTGTCATGTGTGCCCCATTGGCAGTTTTTATAATGGCTTCCTCACCTAGAGACACAACAGGAAGTAAGAGGAAATCTCTCCAAAGTGAAGGAAATTCCCTCTAATAGAGTTGTCACCAAACCATTGGAGGATGTTTCCTAAATTCCACTTCCAGTGACAGCTCTTAATTTTGGATACTCCCTCACTTCCAATCCCAGTAACAATGATCACCAATACCAACAGACCGAGTGAATCTCCACAGCGGGTTCACAGACAGCAATAAAACCATGACAGGAGTTCTAACCCGTTGGCCTCGTTCATACAGACAGCAAGGGGGCGGTAAAACCAAGCGGTTGATCTGTGGTGTTACTACAGCTGTCATTCTGGTGAGTGTGAGCTCTATCTGACTTGCTGCAGCTTCTAGTGCACATTATGAGGAGCTCAAAGTATGCAGTGAAATCAGAGGAAGCCATTTTAGTCCAGTAGAGGAGCCGGTACAACTGTGCAAGACTGAAGAGGAGGACAGAGGTCGGATAGAAGATTGAAGGGAAGGCCAGAGATCAGATATAAGACTGAAGGGAAGGATGGAGATCAGATATAAGACTGAAGGGAAGGCCGGAGATCAGATATAAGATTGAAGGGAAGGAAGGAGGTCAGATAGAAGACTGAAGGGGAGGCCGGAGGTCAGATAGAAGACTGAAGGGAAATGCCGGAGATCAGATAGAAGACTGAAGGGAAGGCCGGAGGTCAGATAGAAGACTGAAGGGAAGGCCGGAGGTCGGATAGAAGAATGAAGGGAAGGCCGGAGGTCAGATAGAAGACTGTAGGGAAGGCCGGAGGTCGGATAGAAGACTGTAGGCTCTTGGGAGGAGTTATGCAAATATCAAATTGCCTTGAGGGTTGGTTGTCAGTCTGGAGGAGTGGGTGTTCCTAGGCAGGCTGTATTTGCATCCAGCTTGCCTAACGTAACACCCACCTGTGATGCTGAGCCTCCATGATTGAAATAACTGACACAACCAATGAATAAAAGGGGCGGGGCCACGGATAGTCTGGCTGGAGAGGAAAGTGTTAGATGATGCTGGATGTCCTCCAGACAGAAAATGAGGCGGGCTCTATCTGACTGGCTGCAACTTCTAATGTACATTGTGAGAAGCTCCCAGTGTGCAGTGACATCAGAGGAAGAGGAGAGGAGCCGGTACAACTGTACAAGACTGAAAGGAAGGACGGAGGTCAGATAGAAGACTGAAGGGAAGGACGGAGGTCAGATAGAAGACTGAAGGGAAGGACGGAGGTCAGATAGAAGACTGAAGGGAAGGACGGAGGTCAGATAGAAGACTGAAGGGGAAGCCGGAGGTCAGATAGAAGACTGAAGGGAAGGACGGAGGTCAGATAGAAGACTGAAGGGGAAGCCGGAGGTCGGATAGAAGAATGAAGGGAAGGACGGAGGTCAGATAGAAGACTGAAGGGAAGGACGGAGGTCAGAGAGAAGACTGAAGGGAAGGACGGAGGTCAGATAGAAGACTGAAGGGAAGGACGGAGGTCAGATAGAAGACTGAAGGGAAGGACGGAGGTCAGATAGAAGACTGAAGGGAAGGACGGAGGTCAGATAGAAGACTGAAGGGGAAGCCGGAGGTCAGATAGAAGACTGAAGGGAAGGACGGAGGTCAGATAGAAGACTGAAGGGGAAGCCGGAGGTCGGATAGAAGACTGAAGGGAAGGCCGGAGGTCAGATAGAAGACTGTAGCGAAGGCCGGAGGTCAGATAGAAGACTGTAGGGAAGGCCGGAGTTCACCTTTACCTGCATGCTGCTCATTATAATAGCAGGGAGGCGAAGTAAAGGTGAGTATGTGCAGCTGGGGGGTCACGGATGCATGGACAAACCACGCCTTCATTTACACTTTGCCTGAAGCGTATTAACAAAGAAAAACCCTAATTAGAACTTTAGCAGAATAATGGAGTTTTGTACGAGTCACCTGTAATTATGGGCTCACCAACAGCTACCAAGCAAAATAGAAAGTCCATAGTATCATCAGCTCTTCAACATCACAATACGCTGATATCCATCAGAAAGCGATCAGAGACTTAAAACCCGAGTGACATAGGAGGAAATGATGAATTAGTGACGCTTGTATGACTGCAGTCAGTTCCTTGTGAAAGATACCCATAGGCACCACTATTATAAGAACTCCGAGCAGCACTACAATTACTGGTATAAAGGCATTTATTAAACAATTGTCCTCTCCAGCTTTAACAATGAAGCTGCAACAGCTATTTTAATTACTGATATTATTTTGCATAATGAAGTCAGCAGAACTTTCTGTGATCGGTAATGGGAAAAACGGGACAGTTAGGAAAACAATTGTTCTGGAAGTTCATTTTAGAATTTGAAACCAGAGTTATGGAGGAGCTCCAGGCAGATATTAAAGACACAAATACAGTATATGCAGCTCTGTATTCATTACTACGTCCTTAGGGTGACACTAAATTCAGGAGTTAAATCTAGAAAATACATTTAAGTCCCTTAAAGTGATATTAAAGCCTTAAAAAATATTTCCTACAAGGAGATCCACCTTTGATTGAGGCTGTTGCCGGTTTTCTTTAAAAGTTTTTAATTCCTCGTTTTCTAGTGGGTCCCTGCAGCAATCCCCCCCTCCCCCCCCTGTGCGGGCGCCACCATCATTCTAATGGAGGCACCCGTGCGTGCTCATGCTCTGTGTGCGTCCATAGACACAAACAGCCCTGTAGCAGAGAATGCATTAAAGGAGAACTATGGAGTTAGCGCTTTTCCACATAGTTCTCCTTAGGGTAACGGGAGGACACAAACTAGCGTCCTCCCGTCACCCAAAGCTCAGTATACCGCGAGCTGCAGCTCACGGTATACTGAGACGCCGCAGCTGGAACGGATCCCGACGATTCTGTCTGGATCCACCCAGCTGCGTGAGTGACAGCTTGCTCTGCCTATCTAGAGGCAGAGCCAGCTGTACCCGCCCCCTCCCCCGTCCGTTCCACCAGTCAGCGCTGGAGGATCGGACCGGGGAGGGGGGAATACCTGCAGGGAGCCGTGAGTGACAGTCTCTGCACGGATAGATCGAGACAGAAGTAACCCCCCTCCAGAAGGAAGGACAGTGTCAGTGCCAATTCAGAGATGATTGGAGGATCTACAGCCGAGTGATACACAAATAAGATACATTGTTGTTATTAATTAAGGTACCTGAATGCATTTTTAAGATTTTATCCCCGAGTTTAGAGTCACTTTAAATCTACAGAATTTTAGTATAAGAACCTGAATTCGGCTGGTTATCGGCCTCTTAGGGTCCCTGTACAGCAGAGCTCAGATTGAAGGTGGGAGAAGCAGCAGAAGGAGTTCATCAGTTATGCTGCAGTGCAAGTAGCATGCAGATAGGAGGAGATAATCTTAGTGAAGGAGAGATGAGCTCATGAATCTGATGCTTCACCTTTCACTGATCAGTCACATGCTAAGAGCGGCACAACACCTTTCCAAAGAGGTGCATCGCAGGAAGGCGCACATTACTGCAACATACATCAAAACACATTACATTTCTTAGCATGTTGAGATGTCATTCATTTTAAATAGGGAATGCAGCTTCATTGCACATGTGCTGCAGCGCACCACAACACACAGTAATGCACTACCGTGTGTTGTGGTGTACTACGTTGCCAAAAACGGTGCTTGTCTTTTTTGAGGGGGAAATTCTGGTGCATTGCCAACCTATTTATGTATTCACTAAATTAGAAACATTGTAGCCCCCTTAGCTCATGCAGAATACAATGTTTGTTTTGTCTAGGGTATGATCTAAAAAAGCAATACTTCCCTTACGCCAGGGTCCTGCTTTGGTTGGGTCACTCCCGCCCACATTCCAAAGTCACCGAGTACAATGTGGGACCGACGCTGGCCATTGGGCCTGCATTGTACTTGATGACATCAGAAAAACAATGCAAACCTTTTGTGTATCTGGCTATCATTAGAGGGAATATAAGCTTCAGTGCACTACAAAGTCACAACAGAAAATGACAGTCATTTAAATAGTTTGGCTAGTAAGAATGCGGGGATCCACTCACTGCTGCTGGAAGTGACGTTGGAAGTCATTCGGGAATTGGTTCAGAAAATCCGGTGGGTGGTGGGACCTGCCCGTCACTGACAGGTGAAGCTGGATAGGCAAAGGTGGCTCAGGCCGGACCCGCAATTTTTTACCCTCTTTTTGTGCCTGGCGGCTCTCCCTGTCTCGGCTGACCGGGGGTCGGGTGTAGTCACCGTTCTTGATAGGTGGTAGAGTCTGATGGCAGAATACAATTGTTACATGATGGCATACGAGTTGATGAAACGATGCACCCTAGGGGTCAAATACTCTAGGCACGACTCTGTTGGGCACTGCTTGTTTTCTACATGATTGGGTAAACAATGCCACCTTCAATCTTATTAAACGCTGCCAGCTTCTATCTTATTTGAAGTTGAAGGGATAAGCAAATATTGTCCTCATACAAGAGTGAGCTGTATTCATACTTGAACCTTGTTGAGCTTTGTGTATTTCTCCCAGATCTGCGCAGCTGTGTAATCCAAACCGGATGTGAAACTTGGAGCTCCCTGTAATAAAGACCAATCAGTGCTGCTCTCCCTCCTTGTGCAGGGTGACCGGTCTTGTGTCCGCCCCTCCTGTAATAAAGACCAATCACTGCTGCTCTCCCTCCTTGTGCAGGGTGACCGGTCTTGTCTCTGCCCCTTCCTGTAATAAAGACTGCTCACTGCTGCTCTCTCCTTGTGCAGGGTGACTGGTCTTGTCTCCGCCCCCTCCTGTAGTTTTCTGCAGACAATCTGTAGTGCGTAGGCTGACCTAACAATCCCCTGACTTAAATAATTCCTAACTTACTAATCCAGAGCCTATTTGCAGATAAAGGGCTCTTAGTTTACCTATTTCCTACTTGTTCACTGTCAATGAATCAGTATTGAAGCCAGAGACATTGACAGTGAACAAGTTAAGTGAACCAGTTAAATAGCATTTTCAGAAGGAGGTCTTCTTTCCGAGTCACTTGGCTACATCATATCTACTAAGCTGGGAGGAGACACGTCAATGTAAACTCTGATTGTCTATTGGAAATTAAGCAACCAAATGCTTATGGCTCATAGAAAATAAACTGTAATTATCATCTGTAATTACATGTCTGTCATGTCACATACGTTGTGCTGATCATGAACTGGCTCACCTTGTATCGTTTAATCTCAGTTAGCTGGTGTCTATCTTGGCCTCTTCCAGGACCACCGGACCTCAGACAGCTCTAGGAACACAACAAACTATTGAAATATACAGTATTCTATATTTATACAAGAACTAGTATGAAACCAGTCCCCCAATGTCTCCTCTCTCTGGTCTGGTCGGCGTTTGCACACTGACTTCATCACATACAATATAGGACCAATAGTCCTGCTTTGTATGCGAGGATGTCAAGGGTCTGCTAACAACCTATAGTGTTGGAGAGCAGAGGAGACCACCAGAAGCCTGCCAGAGCAAGGGATAAAGTAAGTATTACATCTTTTTCGGCTACCCCTAGACTTAAACATGTAACCCTTGTAGTGCAGGGGGCGGGCACTCCATGGTATTTTTTTTCATTCCCGGAGTTCAACTATAAAAAGTTCACTAAAAAAAGCTCTGTGCAACTATTTTATGAGAAAGCAATGATGGTGTGGAAGTACAATAGCTTGAGCATTGCTCTATCCACCCCAATGGTACCCCACAGCTAGTCCAGCCACTAATTGTTCTAGCTGTAGCTGAATGAGACTGAAGCTGCAATGTTATCTGCTCTCATGGTCAATTGCCTTGAAGACTGATGACATCTTGTGGTGGAAAAGAGGTACTGCGGGTGACTGTGCTGGAGAGAAAGTGAGTATTACAGCCATCGCTGTTTAATTTTTTTGAGGGGGACTAGTTTTAAATGTTAGCATACAAGTGGGCTTTACAAATGTCATACAGTGCCCTTTTTCATGTTTTAGCTGTCATTAGTAATTTCTTATTTGTGAAATGCCAATGGGGGGTCCGCAATGCCATGTTTGTTATTGGTTTGATACTGCGGTGTCATTCAACCTGGATGATTCAAGACATACGGTAAGTGCAAGGTGTCACGATGTCACCTACCGTCTGAAATTTCTTCTCAGCTGGTTCATTAATTGTAAATTCTACCGTCTGCCGCTCCTCTTCTTCCTCCCACTCTCTAACAGCCCGTTCATACTCAGCGAGGGCCTTCTCCATGAAGATCTGGTACAAGGAAAAGCTTTTGGTTTTAATCACATGGTACATGACATTACCTACAAGACACTCGCAGGCTTATTCTGGAAACAAAGCACAAACTGCAGTGACCCTGAGCAACCACTCTTGCTGCAGTAAGCTGTTTACAGCGTCATTGCACCTTGTTAGTAAATAGGCAGATCTGCTTCAATCCTCACCTCACACACCAGCTCCAGAGCGTAGAATGAGGCCTGTTCGCCACACTGAAAGGTGACCACCACACTAACGCTCTCACCCGGCTTCATGGTGCCCAAAAGAGGTGAGACCTGCAGAACCTGCAAACAAACACAGTATCTTAGTGGTTAGCCCTTCTGCCTTACAGCACTGAGGTCCTTGATTTAGAATCCCAGCCAGGACACTATCTTTACATCATATATGTGCAGCAAACAAAAGCAACCAACTTTTGAGATCCAGATTACATACCCGGTAAAAGCTGGAATCTGATTGGTTGCTTTGAGTAACGCAACACCATTTCACTGCATTTTCAAGTAAATGCCGCACACAATCTTCAATAAAAAACCCAAGAAAAACTAAAAATTGGAAACGGAAGCGCCACTACCTGGCGCAATAAATGTGGTAGAGCAGGGTGTAAGCGTAAGTGATGTACTCACCTATGGCTGGGTGAGCATTCGCTTGTACTGCACTCTGTCACCCCGGCGTCTCCACCGCTCTCCAGTCCCCCCGTCCAGGACAACACTTCACTCCACCGCTCCCCAGCACCTGCCACCAGAGGACACCTGTGCCAGCAATCTTCCTGAGGACCGGCCCACCACCCAGGCACGACACTGGCCGCACCGTCATCGCTGAGAGCCGTTCTCCACTATCCCCACGGTGAGTTACAGAAGCCCACCCCTTCTTCACCATTGCATACTTCACCCCCTCGCTTTTGTGTCTCCATCTGCCTTATTGGGTTTAATCGCCAACCCACCCTGGAAAAGAGGGACCGTTCCCACTACTACTCCACTCCACCTACTTCACCTCAACCCGACGATTACAAGCGAATGCTCATCCAGCCATAGGTGAGTACATCACTTACGCTTACACCCTGCTCTACCACATTTATTGCGCCAGGTAGTGGCGCTTCCGTCTCCAATTTTTTGTTTCCCTACAGCACACTTGTTGGACACCCCGGTACAAACAAAACGGAAGCCGCACACCTGCTGCACAACTACGCCCACCCCCCTATATCTATACTTATCACACCACAAGTGACAACCGGTGTACCCACCAAGTACTGCCTCTCTCCCCCGCATTTTCTCCTTACCTCTGACAAGCGCCACACATGGGGTAAAACTCTTTCAATTTTTCAATAAAAAAACAAGAAACTATCCCAATGCACAATCCCAGAGAACAACTTTCACATTTCACCACTGTTGATCTTCCAGCATTCTTTGCTCCACCAGACATCATTGTAACATTTTTTTATGTGACTCCATCACCGATCTAAAGGTTTAAACAATTCTTCTTACTGCAAAAATGTAAATACTTACCTCTCCCACTGCTCACATTGAAAAATGTTGCCCTGTTCCCGTGAAGTCTGTTGGGAAACCAATGCAAAAATAGGAGAGAGAGTTTTTTGCTCTGTTGGGAAACCAAGACTTCGGGAAATATTGATCAGTAGCACCCAAAGCACTCCTGTCATGAACCTTCACATCACTGCAGGACACAGCAGCGACATGGAGGTCAGCGGGAGAACCACTGAGTGCAATGGGGGATGAGGGTTATCAAGCAGACTAGGAGGGAAGATTCGTCATCAACTGAGTGGCGTTTGGCAGCGCTGGCAGCAGGAGAAGTAAATACGTTCATTCTTTTTCACAGTGAGCAGCCTTAGGTCAACTTTTAGATTGGCGACAGGGTCACTTTAACATGTACACTGAGTGGCCAGATTATTATGACCACCCCATCAGTACTTCGTTGGGCCACGAGATGACTCCACGAGATGATGAAAGGTGATGCGAGGAATCTGACACGGCACTGTTGCCCTTCTGTTGTCTTGTACCAGTCTTCCCCCTCCCCCGTTCTGCCCTAACATTGACTAGTCGCTGACGGCCACAATCCGCACGTTCAGACCCAGATTTTCGGCTGACAGTCCGGTCTTTAAACACTTTAACAATGAGCTCCTCTTGAACATTTAACGAATTCTGCTGTTTTGCTGATACTCGCTCCATGGCTCCGAGCGCCAACAATCATCCCACGTTCAAAGGCTGTTACATCGCGTTGTTTCCCCGTATCTTCAGAAACAAATCACTTCTACTGTCGTGGTAACCAACCTGCTTCCCTATTTATAATGGTCTGGCCCTCTAGCAACTTCAGCGCCAAATTATAGCTAAT